TTTGTTTTGTAGATTGATAAACGTCATGGTCTGACGTCATGGTATCTGTATTGTTGTTATTAATTGATTCGAATATTTTTATAGTTTCCTGGAATAAATAAATGAATAAATAGGTTTAAGATTTTGCACATACAACAATAATTATTGAAAGAAATGAAATGAGAAGGTGAAAATAATGAAAAAGATAAAAGATGAAGAAAGAATGAAAGGCCGAAAATAGACTAAATTTAATGATCAAAAGTAGATGGAAACAAAATAATTTTTATTGAATTTTCTTTTCAGTGTTAGAGATTTCACGATGTTGTTTTCTTAATATCTAACCAAGTAAAATAGTTTTCAATTCGTCAAATCTCGGTTAACGAAGGTATGCATTCTTCTTGGGTGATACTTCATTTTCAATTGCTTTCATGCCGACAATAGTATGAATTTTTAACAAATCTTTAACAATATTTTCCTTGCGTACATGAAAAAATACAACAGCTTTGTTTTTCTCTAAATATGGCTTCAAATACAAAGTAAAGGCATCATCACGATAAGGTGGATGTTTTTTTCGCTGGGATTTGTAGACAAGAACTGTGTTCAATTGTGATAACGACTTGTTGATTGAACAAGTTTCTTTAATGTTTTCTTTGTCCTCGATATTTTCGTTGCCAGCCATATCTACAAATAACATTTTCGATTTACCATTTGATAAAATCATCACTGCATTTGATCTTGAAGATCGCATATTTTGGTTTGTTGATTTTGTGTTTCGTTTTTGAAGAACATTTTTCAAAAAGGGTTGTATGTCCTCGATCGATTTAATTTCATACTCATGGCATTCCTTTAATGGTTTATCTTCCATCGTAACATTATCACTTAATAAATCTGCCCATTTGCCATTATAATATTCAACGAAAGACACATGTAATTTATGACTTTTGCCCAATAAATAGTCAAGAGCTACCGAAATAATTCCTTTCTCATTTGACATTGGACAATGAACCGTTCCATACATGCTTGTTGATTTGCCGCTACCTGGACATACAAAAAGACACACATTTTACTCAATGAATGCATAAAAAATAAATTTAATTTTAATATGCAAATCATTACGGTGAAAAAAAAATCTGTGGTTACTGAACATTCATATGATATTCTTTTTATGTTGCAGTGCCATTTGTAATAAAACAAGACATATTTTGCCGTAAAAATTCATTTAAATTAAGTAAAAATAGCATTAATTTGAGCCCACCTGTTTCTCCGTGGACTATTACACAGGCATTTTCTCCAGATAAATATGCATTGAGTATCGGTACCATACATTCTAGCTTTTCTCCGCTACCATTTAAAATATGATTGAAGTAAAATTTCTTCAGTTGACCTAAAAATATATTGTAAAGTTGAATAACACAAAATTGACGATGAATATTAATCTTACCACTTTGTACGTTTAATTTAACAATATTCATTCCGAACTGAATTGACTCATGTGTAATTTCCTCAAATGAACAAAGATTGAATGAAACAAATTTGTGTGTAGTTCCAATAATTTTTCTCATGTCCAAAATTTCATTTTGAATTTCTAAAAAAAATTTACCAACATCGAAAAAAATTAAATATATTATGTTATATTATGACGGGTGTTTCAATGAGCACAGAAAATTTAGTATTTACTAGAATCAAATGAGCGCAATTCTTTCGTGAGCATTAAAATCTCCGCGTCTCGTTTTTTCAATTGCGATTTCAAATCCACGATTTCCAGATTATGTCGA